GTGGTGCATGCCTGTAATCCCAACTACTAGAGAGGCAGAGGCAGGAGGATCATGAGTTTGAGGCCAACCTGAGAAACTTAGAAAGATCCTGTCTCAAAATAAAAAAGGGCTGAATATGTAGTATAGTGGTAGAACACCCCTGGATTCAACTCAAGTACTGCTAAAGAAATAAAATATCATGAGTCTAATCTTCATGTTTCAAATTAGCAAAGACCAAGTCATCTGAAAACATTCTGTTAATAAAGGTGTAGAAAATCATGTCTATATTAATTTGGCAACATGTGTTAAAATTTGAGAATACTTTCCAATTATAGACAATTCCCAAGGCTAAATACCAGATCCACACTCAGTTCTGAGTACTAGAGTGCTAGCCTTCATTTCTTTACCAAGTTCTAGTCATATGTCCCAATGTCTGGCTACAGATTTTCACTTGCCTATCAAGTGTCACCTCAAACTCAACATACAAAAAATAGACTCTACTATAGATAGAACCTCAACTCACTACTATGTATACAATTTTGTCAGTACTATCATAATCAAATTCTAGTTCTTTCTTTGTCATTAAATAATTGAGTAACATCAAACACATTTTTATATTTCTCTGGGTCTCAACATTTCTTATGCACAAAATGTATGAACTGGCTCAAATGTTCTAAGATGTCTTATAGTTCCAAAACCCTCTGATTTCCTGCCACTGAGGATCAAAACTTCAAAGTCATTTTAAATTACTCCTCTCCCCAAATCCTCTTTTTTTATCCAGTCCAAGACAGAGTCTTGTGACATCTCTCCACTCTGACTTATTTCCACTAAGTCCAATTCTGCATTATTTCAGGCAGAGAATATTTTCCTACATCGCTTCATTTTCAATTTCATACTACACTAGTACTGGCACCACTTTAATTTTCCTAAAATATTTATTTTAGAAAGCTCTTTCCCAATCTAAAACTTTTAAAACTTCTTCTTTACCTGTGGGGAAAAATATATTCTTCTCATCCTAATCCTTAAAGTCTCCATAAACCAACTCCAATCTACATTTAACTTGATTTCTTACTACTTTCTCACACAAACTTTCATTTCTGTCAAATTTTCTGTTCTCTATAAATGTCATATATATTCATCTTTGATTACTTCCTACACAAGTTCCTTTCTCTTACACAAAATCAGATCCTGACTAGTTTGAGTCTTTCTCCTCTCTAAACCTTCTCTGCTCACTTCAACCCTAAGTGGTCTCGAATATTTACAACTTTTATTATTTATCTTATATCCCCAATTATACCATAAGTCTCCAGAAAAAAAGAACCTATTTTATATTTTCTGTAGCTCCTTCAGATGTAGCAAAATACTATTTATGGTGCAGCTATTAGTAAATATTTGGTGATTAAAGCCCTTTTTAATTTACAACAAATATGTATTTATTGAATATTGCCCATATGTTCTGCACTATGTGTTTTTTAAACCTAAGGTACTATGCCTCAAAAAATACACAATAAAACTGAAAAGATATAAGACAAGGAAAATAACTATCAAACAACCAAAACACAGCATATAATTAAACTATGTGAAGATGTGCTTAGACTATGAAGTTATGTGAATACAGAGACCAAAAAAAAAAAAAAACACATTTACTGAGAAACCATTGCACAAATTAGATAGAATTTCATTATTATAATAGTAGCATTAATTAATAATAACAATAATTAACACTTAAGGAGATCTTAAGGTGCTAGGCTTAAGAGCTTTTAATGTATTAATTCATTTAATTCTTACTATAATCCTGTTGAAAAAGTACCATAATTCTTCTCATTTTCCAGATTAGGGGACTGACACACTGATCAGTTGTTCCATAACAAGTAGCTGTGAAATAGGGTGTAGAATTAAGATGGAGAACATAAGCAAAAGTTAAAGGATAGACCAAACATAGCTTGTTATCAGAAAATGGAGAAATTAACTTGCCAATCTACAGCAGAGAATACGTGCTGAGAATCCTTAGACAAAAGACTGAACAGAGAAGAGACTAATAGAATGTCATAAAAGCCAAGAAAACAAAGTTAAATTTAATGGGTGAAAAAAAAAAAAAGCCACTTAAGACATGGGAATAAGAGAATGCCACAATAAGGAGTATTATAATGATAACTTTACTTAGGACAAGCCGGAGGAAGAGACAAGATTTTGAGAAGCTTATACAATGTTCAATGTTTTAAGCATTGAAACAAGTCTTGGGATTCAAGTGGGGAAGGGGAGAAAGTAGAATTGTGATATACAAAAAAAATTAATAGCTATATTGAATGGATTAATATAAAAGGTAAATGGAAGAGCCAATTTAGAGATAATGCCTAATTTAAAGCCTACATGACCAGGAAAAGAAAATTTTTAGCTTTGTGTTACTCAGTTTTCAGAATACTTGACATAATTAACTTAAAACCAGGAAAGGTTTATTTGGATTTATGGTTTCATTCCTTGGATGCTTGAGCCCATTGCTTTGGGCCTACGGTGACAGAACTTGTGATGCTGAGCATGTGGAAGAGAAGGCCTGTTCACCTTATGACAGCAAGGAAGTAAAGAGAAAGAAGGGGCCTGGGTTCTAAACCACCCCCAAAAGAGAGATGCCCCCAATAACTTAACTTTCTTCCACTAAGCACTACCTCCCAAAGGTTCCACAACCTTCCAGTAGTGCTACAAGCTGACCAAACTTTTAACTCAAGGGCCTTTGGGGGATATTCAAGATCCAAAGTAAGGCAGGTGTATAAGATGATGATTTTTATTTGGATCATATTCAGCTTAAGGAGATGATCAGAAATAGTGTCAGACCAGTAATGAAAAAACTAGTAAGTGACTGTAATGACAAGTAAGCAACAGAATTAGTTTTAAAGTGAAAGAACTGAGCAGAAATTATAATGATATAAAAGGAGAGGAAATATATTAAGCCATGATCAACTGGCCCTGGCTTTTTGTATCAATAATTGTATCAGAAAAGCCAACTAAATACTAACACAGAGGTTCCGAAACTGTCTCCAATCAAGGAGCTCTTAGAATCTTAATAATTTTTTTCATGACATCCCTGCACTAAAAGAAATACTTCAGCATGTTCAAACAACCTAATAAGTATTATTATTCTTACAATTTAATGTCTGTTAGGCACTATACAACTTCTCAAACCTCAGAATTCAATTAAACACTACCAATAAGTTCCTATTCCACACCAACTTTCAAATAATTAGTAGTTGATTTTCAGCGGAGCATCCTTTGAAAACATAGCTTTACAAAGATAGAATGTTATAGAAAGCGATGTAGGTATCTGACATTGAAACTGTAAAGTAGCTTAAATTAATAGTTCAAGCCTGAGTTCACTGATGCTCCAGGCACCTTAGCACACAGTTTGGGAAACTGGAGACTAAAGGAAAAGGCTCCAAAAAAGGAAAAATAACATAATGGGGGAAGAACAACAAAAAAATAAAGTTCTTAGTATAGTGAACCACACGAGGGCAGCACACAAGCTACAAGGGGCAGGACAATGGGGCTCAAAAAGAGAGATAATAGCAAAAGGCTACAAGACCTCTTAGCCAGTTCAAGATCTAAAAGTCTTTTTGCTCCTCAAACTAAAGAGCAAGAAACACTGGTCACTGGCAGATCACTGTATGTGAAGTCATCTTATCTTTCTTTGATTCCCCTTTGCCTGCCCAATTGCAAATTTTTTTTTTCCTCCCTGCCTTCCCCAGCCAGGGTTTCACTATATTGCCCAGGCTGGTCTCAAACTTCTGGACTCAAGTGATCCTCCCACCTCAACCCCGGGAGAAGCACCAGGCACCAGTATGGCTTAACCAAGACTTCTTTAGCAGTCAGGCAATTTACTACTTTACATGCAACTTATTTAAACCTATAACAATCTTATAAGAAAAATGTGGCTCAAAGACATTTTAAATAATACAAGTGTTTAGAAGCAAGAATGTCATGATTCAAACATAGATCTGACTCTAAAGCCAAATTTCTTTCCTATTTGCCTAAAAATCTTCCTTTCAGGAATACCCAGGTCAGGAAGGGAAAGATATTACATTTGTCTCCCATACCTGAGACACCTGTCTCAAATCACTAAGGAAAAGATACTAAAAGAAACTATTTCCCAACCAGTCCCTTCAACTATGCTATAAACTCCAAACAGAATACTCACTTGGAGCAAAAATAAGCATTATGTGCTCATCTAGCCAACAAGTACTGCAGCTTCCCTGTACAAGTAAACACATGCACTATTATGGCAAGTGCTGGACACATTTAATTTACATACATGTTACACTCCAAAAGATAACTACACATATAAGCAAGTGAATCTCACACTTGATGAAGTAAAAGTTGAAGCAGATGGGAGGAAAGAAGCCAAAAAACTGATTATTCATTTTCAAATCTGCTGGGTGTTATTATCAGAATATATGCAGTAGCCCAACAACTCACTTGTATAAACCTATTATGAAACCAAAAGCAATCAACATCTCCCTATTTCCACTTCTGTTTTCTTTCTCCACATTTCTCCTCCTTTCTATGACATACTCAGCTGTTCCTATCCTTTCATTGAGAGAAAGGAGTTTCCCTTGACAGATTAATAACCACCGGAAAGTAAACTGGGTAAATTCAACCAACACAGCAAGATCAGACAGATAAAACTACCCAGGAAGAATTCAATGTGGTAGCAGAAAGCGCAGCAAGAACAGCTCAATAGGTATTCCTTACTACCTGGAAATATCCCTCTGAAAGTTTAAGAATTTCTGGCCGTTTGAAGATAAAGCGAAAGGGATGCTTTGCTTTTTTCTGCAAAGCCATGTTACTTTTAAGACCATCAAGAAATGTTTCTTGAAATATCTAAGAGCAACAATAAACATCTCAAAATTATTGTCCCAAGCCAACATTAAAAGTTCAGCTCTGCCATTTTCAGAGTAAGCAAGAGGAGCCCTGCCTGTCTACACAGGCATCCAACCTTCCTACGCACACACAGCTCGCCTTTACACCCTCACCTTACTGCGGCAATAGAGGACAGCAGCCAGGATATCATACCCACTGTCGCGGGAGGGGGAGGAAGGGCCTCTTTTTCTGCAGAAGAGAAACAGTTCACATCTTGTTCCCGTTGCCTGCTTCTGAAACCTAAAAATAGAAGCAGCTGTTACTACCGCAGAAATCCAGGGGAAATAGATGCTCTTTTCTAGGATGTTTAGATGTCTCAAAAATGTTAAAGAGGGACAAGTAAGGAGGGAGAGACTATGAGGGACACACGGATGCAAATATCAACAGCAAGGCATTCCGTCCTCGGTTTTGTCTTAAAGAGGAAGATTTTCTGGCTAAGTTCACTGCCACTGGCCGGAGTGGGGTGGGGGGAAATCGGGGATCGCGAGGTGGTAAGGGGTTGGAGAGACAACTGCTGCCCTCATCTAGACGCCAGGCAGCGACGACACCCACCGGCTGCGCGGATCGGGCGACAAGGGGCTGTCCTCAAGCCCTAAAGAGTTGCTCCTTCACGGTGCCTCCGGTGGGCCAAGGTCTGCGAAGCCAAGGACCCAACACGGGTCCGAGCGTCCGCCAGGCTGGGCCCTCGCGGGCCCTCCCGTACGGGCTCGGCTCCCACTCACATCCCTTGGCGGCAAGGACCCGGCCTGTCCCCGCGCCGCGGCAGCCCTCCGCCCCGACGGGTGCCGCAAGACAAGGCTCAGGGGCCCACGGGCCTGAGGTGTCTAACACGGCGGAGCGAACTCCGGAGAGCGCCGGGCGCCCGCCTAGCCTGTCAGCGCCGCTGGAGGCCGTTAGCGGCGGCCGCTGCTGCCCCCTTCTGCTCCTCTTCCTCTCTCCTTCCTACAGCCCACACCACTCCCACTTTGGGCAGCCGGGAAGCCCGTCACAGACGTTGTCTCCACCCTTTCCCGAGCCACACCGTCTTCTCAGCGCCGTAGGCGACACTGCTTAGGACGCCCTGTTTGCGTCGGACTCAGCCTCCGCGTTGGCCTCGAGTCGAACCGCCAGTTGGCGGCGGACTAAGGCCGGCTCCTGGCAGGGCCAAGGAGGCAGCGGGACGCTCTCCTGACTGCGCGTGCGCCGCTCGGCGGGCTGCGCTTTTCCTGGCGCTCGCCGGGGTTTGGAAAGGGTGGGCCACGCAGGACCGATGCCTCTCGGGAAGCTGGTGTGCGCGCGTGGAGATTCCCGGGGCAACCCCCGGGCGTGAGCGCGCAAGGAAGTTAAGGTAGCGGCGGCTCGCTGAGCACCGGGGCCTGGCAGGGGCTCGGTGTCAGCACTGGTCCCGGCACTCCCCAGATGGGCGTGTATGTGGCCGCCGCCCGCCGTGGAGGCGGCTGGGAATGAGTCAGCCGGGCTGGGAAGGCCCCACTGCACGCAGGCTGGCACCAAAGGAGGAAGGGCTGCCTCCGCACGGAGAGTTTCCCCTCCAGTGCACGTTGTCCCCTTCTGCTTTCGCTTCCACATTCCGGGTACTGCAAACCCGTCCTTACCCAGGCTCTGGGCCGCAAGGGTCGGAACAACTGGATCACAGGCGCTGTTTAGTGGCAATACAATCCCTAATGAGCCCCTGACTCCAGTGAGCCACCTCTGCTGAAAAGGGGAGAGGGTAGAATTAGGCTCACAGCGAATGAAGAGAAAACTTCTGTTACGAGCCTTATTCATTCATTGAAACATTTACCTGTTGCCTACTGGGTCCTAGATGAAGGCAACAGGCATTTCCTTGTCAGGTTGGAGCCTGTCTTTTCACACAAGTGACAAAGTATGCTTTGAATGTGTAATGTACTGGGCGTGTAATTGCCCCTAAGAAAAATAATAGTAAAGGAGTAGAAAGTGAGGGGGACGTTATTTTATGGAGGCCAAAAATGACTTGTTAGAGTTAACAACATTTCAGCAAAGTTCTGTAGAATGAGAATGTGACAATCCACGAAGAGTTTAAGGTAGAGGGACTAGCAAAAACAAAGACCCTAAGAAGGGAATGTGTTTGGCAAGTTGAAAGACCAGGAAATAAGTCATTGTGACTGGATGACAGTGAAGGAGGGGACAGTGGTAAGAGGTGAGGCAAAAGGCTTTGTTGAGTACCAGAGTGTATTTTGTCCACCTGAATGAAGTGATGCATTTATGGCTTCTGTTTCCCCTTACATAAACGATGTTGCCATTCAGATCTATCTTGTATGTGTTTCTTTAAATAAACTTCATCAGTGCAACCCCTTCATTTCTTCCTACATACGACCCATTGCAGGAGATCTCTGAGCAAATGATAGCAGGATATGAAATGACTTGAATTCACACTGACTCCTTTAAATAATGAACTAGAACCATTGTTTTCTCATAAGATGTGGGGTGGGAAAATTTACAGGGATATTGCATACCTGTGGTTACTGTCTTATAAGCAAAATATGCTGGAGCTCCTTTTTTTTTTTTTTTTTTTTTGTTAGAAACTGGAGTGTTTACTCAATGGCAAAACTAAAATCTGCCTAAAATATTAAGGCTGAAATTACAAACAACAACCACCATGAGATTTCCCTTTTCTATAAACAAAAACTCTTGCTGAGGTAAAGGCTGGAACACAAACCCACACAAAGAAGTGCTGAAGATGGCCATAAAGTCATTGTTAAAATTAGAAACAACAGAACTGTGGGAAAAGATTATCTTTCCTGAAGAAAAACATAAGTTTTAGAACTCTGAAACTATGTGCATGTATCATTGTAATAAATGATGTTCCTATATTTTGCAATGATGTGTTATTCAATTTGGCAATGTCTGTTACTGTCTCCCACCCTGTTTTCCAGGAAAAGAAGTTTGGAACTAGTGAATATTCAGGAATTTTTTTTTTGGGGGGGGGACTTTTTTTTTTTTTGTACTGGGGATAGAATCCAGAGGCACTTTACCACTGAGACACATCCTCAGTCCATTTCTTTTCTTTCTTTTTTTTTTTTAAATAAAGTTGGTTTTTTTTTTTAATAATTGTAATATTTATTTTTTAGTTTTCAGCGGACACAACATCTTTGTTTGTATGTGGTGCTGAGGATCGAACCCGGGCCGCACGCATGCCAGGCGAGCACGCTACCGCTTGAGCCACATCCCCAGCCCTCTTTTCTTTCTTTTTTAGACAGGATCTCACCAAGTTGCTTGGGGCCTTGCTAAATTGCTTCAGCTAGCTTTGAACTTACAATCCTCCTGCCTTAGCCTCCCAAGTCACTGGGATTACAAGCATGTGCCACCATGCCCACCAGGAATTTCTTTTTTATATTAGAAATTTGTGTATGGAAGATAAGGTGGACAAGCAAAATATATTATCCATAAACTTACAAAATGAGAAATTGAGAAATTCTCTACCTACTCACACTGATAGATGAAGTAACTTGCTTAGTGTTATTCAGAGAGAAAAAGTCTCTCTCCTCCCTACTATATGATTTTAAGCCAATGCTATGCTGGAATGTTGATCTCTTTTTACTCTGTGTATTAGGGGATTTTGGAGCTCTTTAGATAGTTCCTAGTAATATATCTCGAAATTTGCAAACATTTAGAAATTTACCCTTGTTCTTTAATAATGAAAAAGGAGAATTCTAAAGAATTTGATGAAGTCTTTGAAGTCATTCACTCAATATGGAGATAAGAAATGTTAACTAGATGGTTAACACATTTGGATTCAAAACTGATTATATAGCCACATTTACAGTTTAAAACAAGCAGCTAGTTGTCAATTATGGCACCCTGTATGGATTCGTGTGTCAAGATTCTGTCTTTCCACTATGGGAGAGCATGGCAGCAGAGGATCTTACATGCTGCATCCAAGCCCATACCTGCAACAAAACTTGACTCAGTCAAGAGGGAGATGGGGTCTTGGCTTCTATATTTTCTTTTAAGTTCTTGGGTAGTTTTGATATAAAACCATGGTTGAAAATCCATGGCCAATTGTTTAAGAAATTACACTTGACAGTCCAAACAACGCAGGTTTTAATCAAAGCTTCTCTTTCCTCATCAGTCAGGATAATACCATTTCTCTTGCTTGAAGAGACTTGTTTTAGTTTTAGTTTCTTTTCCACATTTTTCTATTGTTGCATTACAGTTGTAATTATTGATGGGGTTTGTTATTACATACTTGTATATACACACATTGAAGAGATACTTTTAAGATTAAACAGTATTTTTAAACCCTTAAGCATAACTATTAAGTGCCTGTATGATACTTAAGGAAAAGGGGGACAGTAAGACACCATGTCCATGAATGCCCCTTTCTTTTTCCAAAAACCCTGCCAAGTTATGAGAACAAGCCTGGGCCAGAATGTCCAGATACATATTATCTTGAAGGACACTGGCTTTCTCTTATGCAAATGGGAGATAGGGAAAACTAATGTTATTTGTAAAAAAAATTCCTTTTTGCAACTACACCAGTACAGTTGCTCCTTGGGGTACTAGTCATACGATAAACTAAGCAAGCTAATGTTGATGATGAGATTGGAAGAAGAGATGAAGGATCCCCCCTAGAGGATTCAGAGGGCCCATGGACCCACCAACACCTTGATTTAGGAAGTTAGTCTCAGAACTATGAAAGAATAAATATTTATGATTTAGGGATGGGGTTGTGGCTCAGAGGTAGAGCGCTCACCTAGCACGCACGCGTGAGGCACTGGGTTCAATCTTTAGCACTACATAAAGTAAAATAAAGACATTATGTTCACCTATAACTAAAAAATAGATATTTTTTTTAAAAAATTATGATTTAAGACACCAAATTTGTAGCACTTTACTTCTGCAGTCTACAAAACTAATATGCCATCCTACAAGCCTTGAGAATAATTTTTTTGTTGTTATTGCTAACATGCTGGGGATTGAACCCAGGGCCTCACACATACTAGGCAAGTAAGAACCCTACCACTGAGCTACACCCAGTCATTTTTACCTTTTATCTTGAGACGTGGTCTCACTATATTGCCCAGGCTGGCATCAAACTTATGATCCTCCTTCCTCAGCCTCCTGAGTAGCTGAGATTATAGGCATGCAGAATTTTCTCTTTTGCCAGCCACACCTAACACTGCCTCCCACTGAGCATTGATATAACTGTCCACTTGAAGGAGGAAAAAGTACCTTTTTTGCTTTCTATTTTTGTGTAATGGAGCTTCTGCTTAATTGTTCATTGACTGTCACCTTCACTAGTTACAGAACAAGCATAAAATGGTGTAATAGTCCTAAGGCAAATTCTTTTGGCTGAGTACTCCAATGCCACAAGAATTTTAGTATCATGTGCTTTCCACTCAGATGCCAATTCAGCTCTTTCACTATTCACAGGAAATGTGCTGGGAATCAACAGCATTACAAGTAATAAAATTTTAGTAAGAGTGATGACTTTGAAAAATTTTAAAAACAACTGTTCATTACTGGAGTAGAGATGTTTTAAGGTCCAAGAAAACTTACTGTTTTTACATTTTAGAACCTATTACCCATATTAAAGGGTTTCTAAATATATTTGTTGAGCAAGCTACTTTTTCTCCCTTTTAATTCACAAGTAAACATTAATACATACTAATTGTGGAAAATCCAATTTAATTCACAAAGTGGAAATTGCTGTTAATCCTCTTCCTGGCCCTCTTCACTTTCCAGAATTAGCACTGATAATTCTCTGAGGAATAACCTTTCCAACTTTTTTCAAAGCATTTTCCTACTTATTTCCTGTAGATATAGTTTGAGTTCTGTAAACAACATGAATAATTCTACGTTTCTGATATATTTTTTTAGTTTCAATATCTTGTCTTTATATATTCTTTTTAAAATTTTTTATTTATTTTAATGAGTTATATGTGACAGTAGAATGTATTTATGCACTCTAATATATTCTACATAGATGGGATATAATTTCTCATTTTGTTTGAGTGCACATGTTGTCGAATCATATTGGTCATGCAGTCACATATATACATAAAGTGATAATGTTTGTTTTGTTCTACTATCTTTCCTATCCCCACATCACTGCCCTCCCCTCCTTTCATTTCTCTTTAGCTAATCTAAGGTAACATTATTCTTCTCTAATGCTCCCCCCCTTATTGTGAATTAGCAGCCACACATTAGAGAAAACATTTGGCCTTTGGTTTTGTGGGATTGCCTTATTTTGCTTAGCATGATATTCTCCAACTCCATCCACTTATAGGCAAATGCCATAATTTCATTCTTCTTTAATGCTGAGTAATATCCCATTGAATATATATATACCACATTTCTTTATCCATTCATCTATTGAAGGACACCTAGGTTGGTTCCATTGTTTAGCTATTGTGAATTGAACTGCTATAA